CTGTGCACTAAAACTTCCTGTTTTTCAGTCTGGCTGAGAACTTAGTTTGTGAGTTAAAAGTGGCCTTACTCTACAAGCCTTCATTATTAAAGTACATAAAACAATCTAATGAGCAGATACACATTAAAAAATAATTATTTTTCCTAACAACATCTATGCTGTATGTTAATAGAAGTGCCTGTGTGACATCTGGGACACAGCTTGGACTAAGAACTCTCTTTTTGTTCTTACTTTATGGCTTAAAAAAAATATCAAGATCTTATATCGCCATCCAGCTAAAAAAATATTGAGATATGAATTTTGGGTCATATCGCCCAGCCCTACGTGTGACATACGAGTGACCATTCTTGTATTATTTCTAACCTCAGCTTCCCTCTGTACACACCACCATCCAATCTCTTCTTCAGTAAGCGGTTCATAAATCAGGATGTTGCGCTGAAGTTTTATGATTTATTGGATCCTCATGTCATCAGGGGCTGCACTCATGCTGATGTTGCTACGCAGTGTTTTAATAGCCATTGTTTGGAGATATTAAATTTGGTGGCACCTTTAAAAACTGTAATTGCTGCCCCAAAAAGAGCTCATCCGTGGATAAATGATGACATAAGGAAAGTCAAAAGACTCTGTAGGAAAGCAGAACGCCTTTGTAAATCAACTAAACTTATAGTTCACAGGCTCCACCTTAGGGAACTTTGGGTTTCCCTGCATGAAACCATTAAATCAGCTAGATCAGGATATTTTTCTCAGTTGATCTCATCAAACAAGAGAAATTCCAAAGTACCATGAAATTCCAAGTATCCATGACTTTCTAAACTTCTTTGTGGATACAGTTAATAATGTCCATATGAGCATTGGTTCTTCAATACCGTTTGTTTGTGTCTCTGGTCCACCTCCCCTTCATTTACTGTCAGTGATTAACCCATTGACCATACATGACCTTTCACTTTTTCTGGATAAAATGAAAATCACCACTTGTCCAAATGACATTCTAACTGCTGTGCTGTTTAAAAATGCTCTGTCTCTCATTGGCCCCCCTATTGTAGAAATATGCAATGCCTCTCTTTTAACCGGGGTGGTCCCTAGGTTCTGTAAGCATGCTGCTGTTGAGCCCATATTAAAAAAGAGCAGTTTGGATCGAACACAGCTTAAGCTCCCATTACTGTCAAAAATTCTGGAAAAAGTAGTTGCACATCAACTTACCGCATTTTTAGAAAAACATGAAATCTCTGGCAAATTTCAGTTGGATTTCCGTAAGTGTCACTCAACAGAAACTGGATTAATTAAGGTCTCTAGTGACATTATGATGTCAGCTGACTCCAGAACATCCACAGTCATGGTTTTGCTGGACTTAACGTCTGCCTTTGATACCGTTGACCATACGGTCCTGATTAACAGGCTCCGGCACATAGTCGTTGTGTCCGGTCTGGCTCTGGAGTGGTTTCAGTCATACCTTTCCAACAGGTCTTTTATTGTCTTTGCAAATCAGTTTATGTCACACTCTAAGGACCTGTGTGGGGTCCCACAGGGTTCAGTTCTGTGACCGATTATTTTTCTCCTGTACATGTTACCCATAGGACTTATACTTAGGCAGTTCCCTGATTTATCACCTCTATGCCGATGATATTCAGCTCTACTGCTCTTTTAAGCTGATGGAAGTCCATAAACTGTCCTCTTTAACCCTTTAAAACCGGTCAGAGCGGGCACGCTCTGTTTTGCGTAACTATTTTTAAATCCCTGTAGAACCGGAACCACGTAAGCTAGCACAATGATTTTTTTCTGCATATGAAACCGGAGGAGTTGTACTTACATCTTATCCCATCAGCTTGCCCTAGGTCAAGATTTTCTTCCACATAAAGCTTTGCAACAACAACATGATATTCCCGATACACGCTTTGCCGATCTGATCAGCTGTTCAAAACACTTGCTACGTTGGAATAGATGTCAGCGCGAACTATTGCATGTCCGCCATTACTTGCCCGATTTTGCAAATTTGGATTATAATATTTATTTGCATTTTTCCTGCAGTATATAAAAATGGGTGTATCTCAAAAATAAAACTATGAAGACACTAAAAATACATTTCCTGTTGTTGGAAACTATTTTGTGCAACTTTTTTGTACTTACAGTTTTGAGGGATAAACCTCATAAATTTCTCTAACTAGAAATATATGGAAAAACAAAAACGATTTTCTGTTTTTTGTTTTTTTTTGTTTATGTAGTTACTATGGACTTAATGAATACATATTATTAGAATTTGGGCTATAACGGTTGCATTGATGTATGGCAACTTGAAATGCTCCCAAAAATGGCACTACAGCATGTAAAAATATAAAGATAAGCTCTGGCGGACTTGGTTCTATGGTAGGTCTTAAAGGGTTAATAAAATGTTTAGCTTCCATTTAACAGTGGCTTGGAGACAACTACTTGCAGTTGAACTCTGAGAAGTCAGAAACATTAATTATTGCCCGTGACAGCCAGATATCTATAATAAAACAGCATCGTGGTTCTCTTGGATCTTGATTCTGCCATGTCTCTAGAGCAACACTCTAGACAGTTAATTAGGAACTGCCTTTTTCAGCTAAGAAATATCTCCAAACTACAAACTTTTTTTTCTAAATCCAAGTTAGGAATGATTATTCATGCTTTTATTTCTTCTCGCTCAGATTATTGTAACAGTCTTTTTCTTTGTTTGAGTAAAAAGAATCATGACCGTCTCCAGTCAGTCCAGAATGCTGCTGCAAGGCTTTTAACAAAGACACGAAAAAGAGAGCACATTACATCAGTTTTACGCTCATTACACTGGCTTCCAGTACATTTTAGAATTGTCATGAAATTAATATATTCTTAGTGCTTATTCTTATTATATTGTTTTATGTATATTAGTAATAAAAGCTTGTAAAGCAAGGCCACTTTTGACTCAAAAACTAAGTGCTCAGCCAGACTGAAAAACAGGAAGTTAGTGTAGAGCTATACAAGCATATTGATAAATACAGGAAGCCAGATACTTGTACGATCCTTGTACGATACAAGGAGTTGTTGAAACTGTGTGACATGTAAAGTACCAAAATAACACCTATATGAGACACATTTTATGATTCTAATGTTAGAGTTTCTGCAACTGGCTTTTAGGGCTGTGCAGGGCTCTCTCTTCCGAAAGATGATTGAATAAATATATAAATGTTTTGACCACTCTGAGTCGGGTTTTCTCTGTTTTATCATGGGGATCAAAGAATCGGGTTTAATAGAATTCATTTTAAAATCTTAGTACTGACTTTTAAAGCTTTGAATCATGACGCTCCTGCCTATATTTCTGATCTCTTAGAATCTCACACTCCTCTCGCAGCCTGGGATCATCTAATCAAAGGCTGTCAGCAGTAGAGCAGGGCGATATGACCAAAAATATTTAGCACGACATACATTTGAAAATATGTCATAACGATATAACTGACGATATAATTGACACTAGACAAAATACTTTACAACTCCACAACTTTATTAGTGCAAAAAAAAAAAAACATCAATGCATTTTCACTTAAACAGGCAGATGTCTTTTATATGCATTAAAGTTATATAAAAATTTAGCAGTGCAAATGCAAATTCCTTGCTGACAGTTTAACCGAAAGACATTTCCAGTGGAAATTGGGCGACATAT